AGTAAACCCATTTAGCTGAGAATGGAAGGAGGTGTTATAAAACTACTGGACAATAAGTTACAGCTCATTCCACAAAGTTTCAAGCAACAGCAAATTAACACTGAAGATGACAGAGTCTTGATGGAGCCCCTGGGTACATGGGGCAGATCTTAACCTATCTGTACGTCAACATGAAGACACCAGGATAACATCATGAGTGCATGACTCAGCAATGTCCATTAAGCCTTCTTAATACTTTAACTGATTTATTGAGAATAATTGTTTAGGTCAACTTAGAGGTTATCAGGAGCCACAGTGACCTCCCAAATTAGGCTTTCGATGAGTTTCTCATTGTCTTCCATTGCACCTGATTAGAATTCTTATCTTATTCTTGAGGCTGAGTCTTCTCTACTATTCAATGCATTCCTTGAGGAAATACTCTATTTTATTATCTGTTAATACATTGCTTGCCTAAAAACATAATAGGTGCTCAATAAACATTTGGTGACAATAAATGAATAAATTTGTCTATGAAAAAGGTATCACAAGCCAGAGACTGAAGAGTCACAATCCGGGAGGCCAGGAGTTCAAGTCATTACCGTGTCTAAGGAAGCAGCAGCCCGGAGATCTGGCAGAAAGCCAACCTCCAGGAGGTGGAGGAGGAAATCCTGAACCTCAATGCCATAGACCCTGTCAAGGAACAAAACCATGGCTGCCTTGTGATCTGGGCAGAACCCCGCAGACATGTCAGGCTCCACCACATTCCCATCTGAAAGAGAGAAGGTGACAGGTCGTAGTCAGTGGTCATGCCATTCGAGAGACAGTGCCAACTGTCTGCTTTCCAGCCCCCTCACGCTTTAAGCCAAGTTGTCTGCTGAATGGTTTTCTGTTATTCTGTTGAACAAGCTAATGCTGGGAACTGGCTCAGGACATATGACAGTGCAATTTAAATTCCAGTCATGGCAATGTTATTTGTATATCCATTTGTTAACAATGTGATAAGGACATAGCATTCTGCTAGATTCTGAGAAGTCAAAAAAAGAAGGGATCCAAAATCCACATTGCAAAACCAGGAGTAAATACCATGAAAAGTTAAAACATAAAACGAGGTTTCACTCTTTTCAATAATAGGAGCCTCTTTTACACGTTGATAAAACTTACTAACCACAATGGGATACTCTCGATACATTTATATATTTGTAGAGTAGATAATTACAAAATGAGGAAACAATCCTATGAAACCAGTTTGACTTTCAAATGAAATATATTTCATGAACGTAATTAGAATTAACAACATTTAAAACATATCTGAGCGTTATATTATTTTCTCTATCAACAACCAGTGTTGATGTTTATATAAATTACTAAATCCCTTACTATAACTCCATAGATTCATAGGTTGGGGACCATAATATTAGGGATTATGGGATTACGTCTCAACTTAATTTACTGGGAAAATGATGTCCTCTCTGTTTGGCCATGTGATGATTATTCCAACTGCTACTCTAACACACCACGAAATTCCACAAAGAATATCACGGAATCTTTAATGATGATGCCATGTCGAAGCAAGAAGAACCCAGGGAAAGATGACAGACATGACCATAACAGCCCAAAGAACAGTCACAACTTTTTTGTTTTTATTCAGTCAATGAATGAATTTGATATTTACATCATGAAAATAAACAAATAACAATGTTTTAAGGAAAATGAGATTAAAGACTAAGGCTGTACACCTGCTAATTTGCAAATTTAGTTCTAAACCAAGTAAAATTGGATTTAAAATCCGGCCAATCCCTAGTGTTAAATCAGTGTGGTATAATTTTTTTTTCCTTTTTAAAAAAAAAAAACAGATTTTTACTTATTGACTTGAGAGAGAGAGGAAGGGGGAGAGAGAGAAAAACATCGATTTGTTGTTCCACTTGTTTATGCAGACATTGGTTGATTCTCGTATGTGCCCTGGCCTGTGATGGAACCCTCAACCTTCGCATATCAGGATGATGCTCTAATCAACTGAGCTACCTGGCCAGTGTCTATAATTTTCTATTAAAAACCTATATGAAATTCCAGTTCAAGTCTCCTAAAAAGCATGTGATACGAAATTTAAACGTATCACGTTCTATTATTTTAACATACGGTTGAACCTAACTCACAGAGGCTACAATAAGAAATGGTGAGTCACTCACAGATCCCAGGATAAGATTTGGGTTTGAAACACTCATTCATTTAAGGAGTGACAACGGCATCCACCTGGGACCCAGGGCTCAGTGACGTAAACACTCATTCATTTAAGGAGTGACAACGGCATCCACCTGGGACCCAGGGCTCAGTGACGTGCACGGTCGCTAGGTCTGTTCACTGGATCCCCCAACACAGACAACAACCCAATGAGCAGCCTCCTCTGCTAACTGGCATGCGGAGGCTGGACATTGGGCTTTACCGGGGGACCTGCAGGGTCCATCCGCCTGAAGTCACCCCCTGGACCTTTGTCCAGCCTTCCTGGGCCCAGAGCTGGGGAGCAGCATCTCTTTCCGAGACCACATATTGCCTTTGGGTCTCTGAGCCCCTCCCCCTTTCATTGTTATATGGCCACACTCCGTTCTAGAACAAGCGTGCTCTAAACGGTTCAGACAGGCCTTCGCCACTCAGAGGGACCTCACCTTTGGCTATCGCAGGCATCTGGAAGGTGATGCTGATCACGCCCACCAAATCTCCCAGTGGAATCAGGGACCTCAAAATGGATCTGATCCTGATGGCTTCCCCCTTCCCGGCGTGAATCAGCTACAGGAAGAGAACAAGGAGCATTAGAGTCCCTCTGTGAAATCAATGCTATCATTCTGCCTACAAACTTGAAGTCCAAAATCATGTCTGAAATGATTTTCTTTGACGGATATGCATAAAGTTAGACCTGGCACAGAAACGGTTGTTTCGGGCTCACAGATGCTATTTCCCTGCCACAGTCTCCTCTGACATCAGCACACTATGCCGAGGCTAGTGGCCGGCAGTGTTATTCTTAAGGAGCATGAAGGTCATTGGTCTGGGTGCTGGGGGACACCCCTACCAGCTACTGTGCCTTCACACAGAGGAGCCAGGGTGCCGCGCTGGGGCCCCAGGAACTTACATGCATTTCAGGAGCACAACGTCCTAACAGGTCGATCAAAGCCGCATAGAAGGTCATGATGGCATTCCCCATGTGGATGGTGTTGTCCTCCTCCGCTGTGTCACTGTCATGGATCATTCCAGGGAAACAGAAACAAATCAAACGGGAGGAGGAAGTGACATTTCTGGTTTATTACATGTTCTCAGGGGACAGGGGCCACTAGGTAATTCATTCTGATGCTTTTCATGTCTGTGTTTAATTTACAGCTGGGCATTTTAAAGCAAAATGGCAATGCATTCAAGACCAAT